TAAGCTTTTAGGCTTCATGAACCTCACAGTTCTACAAAGAATAAGATAAAACATATGAAGACTATCTGCAATAGTTTTCAGAGCTCTGATTAGTACAGTACTGGGAAGAAAATGTGGCATGCATATTGCCTTTTTTTTGCTTTTTGCTTTCATAGCGTATCTTTCAATATCTAATGTACATGTTGGTCCTCCTAGATCTTTTCTTAATTTTCTCATTCATATATCATGTTCAAGAAATGTGAGAATAAAACATGTAAATGTTTGAATAGAATAAAATATATAAACCCTGACTCCCAGAGGATTTTGTGTGCAGAAGCCAGCAAGTGATTTCTTTTCATGCAGAAAATAACATTTTATTCCCTGTGAATTGCCATACATCACTGCCATGAAAGAGTAGTTATTGGACTCTGATTCAGAAATTGGCAATCTTATATGCCTTAGGTATTCTGGTTGTACAGCTGTGGCTGTAAGCATGGAATTTCAATTTGTTTTACACTGGCCAAAAGATCAGAAAAAGAGAAGCATTCAACTCACCTGGACTCTTAAAATAACATTAAAAAGAATAATGATTCATGTATGTTTCATTTTTCTATGGGAAAAGGAGCAAGGTCTCTTTTCCAAGCAAATTTAAATCAATATATGATTCCTTTGGTTTGCTGGTAATATGATTCAGTTATTATCATTTTAAATTGCTGACTATTTCTTCTTTATAGGTTTGTTCTTAATACTCAGGAATGGGCAATTTACCATAGTGTGTTAAATGGGTTGAATTTGCCCATTCAAACAGCAATTGTCTTTCATAAACTACAGGAACACTAAGAATTTTTTTTCCTTACAGTTGTGGCAGAGAAGATGCAAACTAGAGCACAGTAATAAAGATCCACTGAGTAGTTAAAGAAATCATCAGCTGGATTACCTGCATATTTCAATGATACCTTAATATAGAAAGTGAAATGGTTAAATTAAATCAAAGACTGCTTCCTCCCTCCCATACTTTTAATATATATTTCTGTGTGAATTTATCATTCCACCATATTTGGGGGGATAAGTCAGAATTTAATGTTTTGTCAACTCCTGCTCCTGTATAATTAAAATCAAAACCTAACATCAGAAATTAAGTAGATTTCTTGCCCATTGATCTTCATGGCACAAAAAAGGTTTTACTTACAGTACTTTGTCCCAAAAGTGCTTTTTCAAGAGGCAACTAGACTTTCTTGTTTTTCTTTGAAGACGCTTCGCTTCTCATCCAAGAAGCTTCTTCAGCGAAATGTCTTCAAAGAAAAACAAGAAAGTCCAGTTGCTTCTTGAAAAAGTACCTTTGGGACAACCATGACCTGGATGACTGAGAATCTCCATAGACTTTTACTTACTTTGTTTCTTCCTACTAAGAGACTTTAGAGCTTGAAAAATCACAGTCAGATATTTGATGATGGCGATGACAGATAGCAAGAAAACATTTATTCACATCAATTGGTTAGTTTTTTGTGGGGGGAAGAGATAGTCTGCTGAATTTCTATATCTCTTCTGTATATGAAACAACAGATAATTTTCCCAGGATTGTGATGGGAAAAGCTCAATGTTGCATGATGGAATTCTGTTATAGCAGAAAACTAGTACAAACATAAAAAGGGGGCATCATACTGGAAATGGAGTAGTCTAATGCAGAGGTCCCCAACCTTTTGGGCATCAGGGACCACTTACATGGAGAGAGGTTTGTCCATGGATCGGAGGGGGTGTGGTTTTGTGTACTGCCTACATACTGTGGATGGGGCTTTCCTTGTTTGGCAGACCGGTTGCTGGCCCGGTACTGGTCCATGGACCGGGGATTGGGGACCCCTGGTCTAATGCATCATACGATCCATGCTGCTGTTAGGCAAACCAACTGAGGTAATTATTGCTCATTTACTGTGGGCGATCAAAGTATTGTGGTTAGTAGCTTTCAACTCACCAATCCAAATGGGTGCAATTTTGGATTCATTACTCAATATAAGGTGCTCTTCTCCATTAAAAAGATGAAGACAGCACAAAGAAAATCCCATGTATGAAAATTATTTGAATATTTATGTAGAGTTTCTTTTTAAAAAGACATTCCAGAAGTACAAAACATTCTTAGATTGCTATGTACTTTGAAAGAAAGCTCATGTTTGAAAGAAAGCTCATGATTTTCCTGAGAAACAGTAATAAAATAAGCTGGTAGCTATATAAAACTTTTAATAATCACATCTATGTGGTCAGCCAAGACATATTAATGTAGAAAGAAATTGTGCATAGACAAGAGTGCTTCAAACATTATCTGCTGGAAATTGTGTGGTTGACTTTGTACTCCTGCTTCCCTTGGAGAATCAGCATTGTCCTATGGGCATGTGGGAATAAGATTTTGTTAGATTTTGTTGTTTTCAGGTAGACCACCCACTTCTGGGTACCCACAGAAAAATATCCCTTGTGCTTTGAAAACAAAAGGTATTGAGTTAGCTTCAGAGTGGCATTTGGATTTTTTTAAAATTTTGGAATTCTAGGAAAAGGAGATACCATATGCACACAGTAGACATGTTCAGTTGTTCCTAGGATCTTGGGTGTTCTGGGGAAGAAATGAGGAAGACATGAGATGAAGGATAGGCAATAATTTCACTGTTCATATATAGATGATCAAGCTGAGCCGAGTTGGAAGGCGGGGTTAAATATATCAATTTAGAATCTTTGCGCTCCCACAAGAGACCTAAGTTTAGCTTTCCGTGAATTCCGTTAACCCTTAGCTAACACTAATATAGCTTTGACCATTAATTGACCAGATTCTTGTATATAGGTAGCAATAATAAACTCTTCAGTGCTTTGAGCTCAGTGAGTGTTCCTGGTTCTTTGCGCCTGACATCACATAATATTCCCACACATTTTTTAGAAGAAAGCACTACATAACATTTAAATCTGCAAAAGGTTTCCTTCAACAGATTATTTTATTTAAGATTAGGAGCAGAATGGAAGCCATGCCAGGGAGACATAAACTATGGGTTGATGACTAAAGGACAATATTGCTGTCGGGTTGATCAATCAAATTACCACAGCTGCATAAGAGTCATCCTGTAGCCATATGAAAAAGTTATTTCATGAGGTTTGGTTTCTCATATCCCAAAATTCAGCTCTGAGATGAAAGAGGAAAGCACTTTCAATAATGTTGGGCACTTTATATTTAAGCAGGTAATTGTCATAATTCCCCAGTAGATGGTAGAGGGATAAGAGGAAGATGGGTGGTTAAATAAAATAAAATAAAATGAAAAATAAATAAAATAAAACATAAAATAAATAAAATGTGAACTAAATAATACCTTCTGATTCATCCTGAAAAATTTGTAAAACAAAAGTATAAAATGAGATTGATTTTTAGGAATGAGTTTAATTTTTATGGCTGATAAGCTCTGAGTTATGGATACCACCAAAACAGATAACCAAAAAAGCTGATCTCAAGCCTCACTGAACTTATTGGACTGGTTTAAATTAGGAAGGAAGGAATTGGAAGATATTCTCTAAGTACTATCACTTAATGGCACAGAAGTAAATTAAACATAATGAGCATATTCTTTGTGCGATGCTGAAATTTATAGAAGCTTTGGGACAGTTGTTGCCCAAATCATACTTATGCAACAGCTCTTGTATCAAAGAATGCCACACTAGGTGGGTGATACCTAGGGACGTGTTTGTTTTCCTTATGGACCACTCTCTCGTGTGTCAAAAAAAGCAAGATGATGTACCAGAGAAATATTTCTTGTACACAACAAACATTTCAGATCCTAGGTCCTTTATCAAGAGCTCTGAAATCTCTGCCATTTCTCAATCAGGTTCTCAGGCACTTTGAGAAACACTTCTATTCTCTATTTGATTTTTCAGTCTTTTGTGTCTGGACAGAAACAGAGGCCAGTTAATGAGATCTACTACATGCAGAGAAAGCCTCACACCTATTTCAGACAGCAGCCCCTCCATTCACACACAGAAGCCTGCAATCTGATGGCTACACAAAGAAGACAGGGAAATCCTCCCAATGTTTTTCTGTTATCGGAAAACAAGCTTTTTTCCCCCCTCCTGCATGTGTTTTCCTATCCTTCGTCTTGCCTTTGGAGAAACTGATTCCCCACCAGGCTGAGAGTGAATCCTGAGAGTTCCCAAAAGCAGGTATAAGCCACTTTAGCTGAGGCTGATGTGGGCTAAATTACCCCACCTTTGCAACAACTTGCTAATTCAAAAGAAGGTACTGTGGCAGGACTCAGAATGTCACTTTCTTGTCAAAGAACCAACAGTTAGCAGAAATGCTAACTGATGCTGTGGAGTTTCTAACATTATTGCACAGACTGGAGAGACTCAGTTTAACACACAACTAGTTGACAGCTGCAACAAAGCTCCAAGACGCTCTATGGCTGCTCACTTTGGTGAATGTCCTTCATTCTTAAATCCTAGCCCAGCTCTTACTGATAATACCTCTTGGATTCAAATCCCCTTTGTGCAATTGAGGTAATCTGTACTTTTCACAGCTCAGACACCAGTCCCTCACATACATTATATTAAAGCTATGATTTCTTGTGTCAGGGCTCATACATCACGTAAAGCAAAATTTACAATTTACAGTGATTGGATTCAAGCAACATGTCAAATATTCTATGCTAGAATTTTATCACATTCCATGAACCAATCAGTGCACTGATGAAAATCAAGAATTGTTACAGAGTCATGAAATTTTATGCCCTTTCCCTGCAGGTTCAGAGATGTAGTGAAGGATAGAAAGATGACTGCTAAAAAGCTCTAGAAAATCAAATGCCAAAAAATCTCCAGAAAGTGTAAGTACTGCCATTGCTCCCATTGTGCAGTCAGCCACCACAGTTAAGCAAACCCAAGCACATTTCCCAATTGCAAGGTAGACAAACCATTAGGCACATCTAAGCTTGTTACTGAAATGGGAGAGAAGCATTGCCCGGCCAAGGGCAGCCCCACAAAGCAGAAAGGGATGGATTTATTACCTTGACGGATGGAGACGTATCTGCCATTGGAAGCCATGAAAACGACTTGTGGGTGACTCTCTTCCAGATCAAAGAGTTCGTCTTTGCCCGGCTTGGAGCTCCTGCCAGATTTTAGAGTGCCCGTAGGTCCCACTGGTGCTAGGTATTTCCCATCACAATCCTTGAAGGCCAACTTTCCTGCCTTGAATTCCAGGGTATAACCTGAACGGCGGTCCGGCTCCTGGACCAAGATACCATCGTTGCGCAGGTAGCGATTGTCGCAGGTTCGTAGGCAATACTTCTTGTCCTGGAAGGTAAGGGTGATAAGCGAATCCACCCCCCAAGGGATATTGCTGTCAATAGAGATCTCATCCTCTTGGGCATTGAGGTGAGCATATCTTCGCCTGCTAACGCTCAAAAGGTTAGCTTGGGGGTGGATGGCCAAGTGTACAACCCAGAGCTCAGTTTCAGTAATGGTTTGGGCGAAACAGGACAGCCTGTCTTCAGAACCACCAAAGAAGCGCTTGTATGGTTCTGACTGGAGCGCCCAGCGTCCATCTGACTGAGTGACAATGATAAAACACCCGTCAGTTTCTGGCTTCTCAGCTTCACAGGAGACTTTGCCATCCTTGCTGGCAGACAAGTACCGACCTAGATGGCTCTTTAAGAAGACCATCGAGCTGTCTCCATCCTGTTCCAGGCTCCATATTTGCTTCCTTTTCAGACTCGGTGCCGAGGCATTGATTTTATAGCCAAAGTGCTCTGCTGTTAAATAGCGATTATCAGAATTGATTAAGCCAAACTGGATCTTCAAGGCCTGGTGGATCCCATTGGTTGGCATCTTCAGTCCAGACAGCAAACAATCCTAAAGACTGAGGTGAAAGTCAAGTTTTCCCAGTTATTAATAGGTATGAATGTATGCCCAGCCTCACACTTGAGGAATCTGGATTAAAACAAATGAGCGTTTACATCTCAGTCAAAGCGCCAGGGTGACCTGCAAATGCCCTAGTTCCAGGTCCGTCTGCAGCAGCTTTTCCTTCATCTAATCTGCAGCCCATAAAACCAATCTTGTTCATTACTTTTTCTCCCGCCCTCCACACCTCCTTGAGCTGGCAGCATTGCTCTCTCCTGCACTGCTCACATTAACTTCTACTCCTATTCCTCCTCTACGCAGCACAGCAGGGATGGGGGGGGGGGGGAGTAGGCACTTAGCACTGCACCAGCTTTGCTTAATTAGCACAGCTAGGATTACAAAGCTTTCAATGAGCTGCCAGCCTCCTGTAACCAATAGTGGAGCTTCTACATAAAAGCCACAAGGAAAGGGGGCTGACAGGTGGCACAATAGCCTTTTGATCAGCCGTGTTCTTCAGTGGAATTTTGTATTCTACAATAGTGGCGTTCTGCACTATAGCTCCGTCTCTTTGCAGTCTCAGTATCTCTAAATGTTTCATAGATTCCCTACCTAACTCCTTCAAGTCTCAGAGCTTTAGTATCTTGCAACCAAACCTGCTGCCTTCCTGGTTGATTTTCTACGTGGAGGATTTATTCCTCTTTGTCTCTGTGTAAAGTTACAAGCTTCTCTGATTCCACGTGGTAGGTCACCTTCCAGCTGGATGCCTCTTTGGTCCAGCTTCTAATCTCCTTAACAATTAAAAGGGCCTTTCTATTAGTGTAATTCTTTTATCCTCCTTCAGAGCCTTTGCCTCCATCTGTTAAGTAGCCCCAAATCCATAGCTTTTTTAAAAGGGAAGTTGCGGGATCCCCTAAGTTAAAGGAAATGGTCTACCTAAAAGTTGAATCAGGGCAGTCTATAAAGCCAATGGAGCCAGCTAGGATGGCAAACCCAAGTCTTGAATAAGTAAATCTCAAAGAAATGCTGTTTAATTTAAACATAAAATCCCAGAATCTGCTAAAGCAGAAATTATTCAAAATACAGAATGGAAGCTACACCAAATACTATATTTATGGAATTGCTATGAAGCAAATTCATGGCATCTAATCAATCAATCATCTGCAATGGATTCCAACTTTCCATTAGGTAAAATGCGACTGCTTCTTTAGCTAGCAGATCCCAAAATACCTGGCATTGCTCCTAAGCTTCCAGGCTAGCTAGTTGCTTTCAGGTGCAACAAAGGAAGTCACGTTCCCAGTTAGAAAACAAAAAAGTACCCATCTGCTTCAAGGTCGAGTAGCAAAATCGCTTGGCCTACTTCATTAGTTGCTTTTCCACCCCTTCCTTCCCTGTGTACTCTCTGCATCCATGGAAAAATATGCTTCTCAGATTAGAAAATCTGGGGGAAACTCTGGGGATATAAAGGTGGGATGGGGAATTGGTAGTGGCACAACGTGAGATCGGAGTTGAAATTGGTGGTGAGACAAGAACAGGAAAATTACTCTTGGGCAAGGTTTAAGTAGGGCAAAACAAACAATTCACTGCTTGGGTGCTGCATGAGTTAAGTCTAGATAGTGGGGAGTAGTGCTAGTACAGACGGTTGTCAACTTACAACCATTCACTTAGTGACCATTTGAGGTTACAACAACACTGAAAAAAGTGACTTACAACTTCGCATTTACAACTGTCACTGTATTCCCACGGTCACATGATCAGAATTGGGGGGCTTGGCAACCGGCATGTATTTATAATGGTTGCAGCATCCTGGGGTCATGTGATCACCATTTGCAACCTTCCCAGCGGGCTTCTGGGAAGCAAAGTCAATGAGGGAAGCCAGATTCAGTTAACAACTGCATGATTTACTTAACATCTGGAGGGATTCACTTAACAGCTGTGGCAAAAAAAGATGTAAAATTGTTTCTGACTCACTTAATAACCACCTTGCTTAACAACAGCAATTTTTATCTCAGTTGTGGTCATAACTTGAGGGAACTTTCTATTAGCTGTATGGATTGCAATATATTACAGAAGTTGTATAAAACATCAAATTTCCAACCCATTCAAGGGGACACTGAAATGTCAAACAATGGACTTAGAGACACTAGTGATATACCAGATACAGTGGGCTTTGCCACAGCCTGCTTTAGAAACCCTTTTAGCTGGACAGGAGGCTTCAAATAACCCAAATCAATAAATGAATAAAAACATCCTATTTTTTTGCTACAATGCCCCTATATAATTTAGTAAACTTTTCCTTCCTACAAGTGCCATCAAGCCAGGCAACTTTGCAGCTTGTCAAATTCAGCAGATATTTCAGTCTTCAGATAAGAAACTTCTACAGTTTGTTTTTCTTGGGGATTTTGTGAAAGAAGCTGCAGAAGGAACGAAGAATAGTGGACATTCCTTTTTAAAAATAGTAATGTTTAAGAATGATGAGTATAGGATTGATGTCATACATCATAATATGGACTGTCCTTGTTTGGTTCCAGTCAAAGAGCACAGACTGAACCCTTTTATAACATTCTCTAATAGCCAACTCTAGGATGGGTGGATAACGTGTCAATTCAGCCTCTGCTCATAATATAAATATATTCTGCCATCATCTTTTTTCAACTGAGTGCCTGATTTCATTTCACCCCAGCCCATGTTTGAAATAGCCTTAACTCAGACATGTCAAACACAAAGCCCGGGGGCCAGATGCGGCCTGCGAAGTGGTTTCATGTGGCCCACGAAGCCATCCTGGAAACAGTAAGGGAATGGCCCCCGCTGCCTTGGCCCTGGCCCAGGCCAGCCGGGAGCCAATTTTGTGGTGGCCATCTTGGCACTTGCCCCGGTCCCACCCCCTTCTGCCAGAGACCCTCAGATCTGTCCCACTCCTGCCCAGGCCCCCACAGGCACCCTTGACGCGAATGATGTAGAACTGGCCATGCCCACCCAGTAGGCCACACCCACTCCATCCACACCCACCCAGTAGGCCACACCCACTCTGGCCACACCCACCCAGCCCCCCAAGGGCAACCGCAATGCTGATGCAGCCCTCAGTGAAATTGAGTTTGACACCCCTGCCTTAACTCATCCTTTATTTATTAAATTTATTTGCCACCCACCCCGAGTTGTACAGGTGCTAAAAGAGTGTTTTTTCCCCATTATTCCAACTCAGTCCACCTTAAATTGTACAAAAGCATGCCACCTCCTAACATAGAGGGAAATCTGTGATGAAAGTGGGGGAGGATATGGAAAAGGGGAGATCTCAGCAATTGTACCAGTTTCCAATGGAGGTAGCACATTCCAGAGGAAAACACATTCTGGAGGAAAGTCCAAAATAAGAAACTGCACAGTCCTGAACTGAATTGGAGAGAGAGGAAAAGGTTCAGGATAGCCACACACCCTAGAATCTCTCAGGATATATCTATCAAGTTAGAAGGTAATACCTTTGGTCTGGCAAGAATCTGTCTATTAGGTTTTAGCAAATAAAGAATTGGACTCAATTGGATTTCACTGCATGAATTGGACGTGGGTTTGATATACAGTAGCTAGATAACTGGTGCCTTTATTAACTGCTGAATTGTTACCTATCCAGCCTTGCATCAGAGGAAACTATACCTCCATGAAGTTTGCTGTCCCAATAACCAATCTTTAACAATAGTAAAGGCCCCGATACCAACTTCTATAAATCTAGCAATTCTGCACTCTACATCAGATGGGAATTTGAATTTGGCAGGAGTGCTTATTAGAGCAGAGTTCCCCAACCTTTCCGGCTTTGCAGACTGGTAAGGAGAGGGGGAGAGGGGATGGTTCCACGTGTGCGGCGGGCAAGCATGCACACGCAGCTCCACTTGCATGAGCGGCGGGCATGTGTGCCCACTGCTGGCACAAATGGAACACGTGTGCACGTGCTCACCCACTGCTCATGCAAGTGGGGATGCACACAAGAGTGCACTCACCCACTTCCGGGACCCAGTTCCGAAAGCTCAAGGCCCAGGTGTTGGAGACTCTTGTACTAGAGGATAAGCTTCTGAACATAAGCAGAGTGCTAAATAACTGCATACCAAAAAGTCCCATTAAAAAGAAAATACAATTTATAAGGTAATTTTTCTTTGATGCAGACTATGGCCAGCTGTCAGTGAATGGAACTTGATTCTTACCGATGTTATCTACCTATTAGGGCCAAGACAAATTTGCATGGAGATACTTTTCATCACCAAATGGTGGTTAGTGTATATCATTTTTAGGATGGAAAGCAAAGCAGATACAATGAGAATTCTGCTAGTATCTATATATTGCTGTTTTCACTTTTGTTCATGTGACATAATACTTAAAAATGTGGAGGACAACCAGATGAATCACTGATTCACCATACCATTAGCCAGGGTGATAATGGCAACCACTTATGCACGGCACTCCAATCTACAGTACTTTATATCTATGAAAAATAGCTTCTTCGGAGTTCGAAGTCCAAACAGCTCGTTGATCCTTGTGTCAATCATTAGGCCATTGCTTTCACGGCCAACCTTTCCCTCCACAAAACATAAAAATCTTTTGAAATAAATGTACTGAATAAATGTTGTCCATCTGAAACATGGGAAGAAATTTTAAAAAGGGAATCTTGTCCTTTGAGAAATGAGCAAGAAAGCTTCACTATGAAGCAAGGAACCTCATCTATTAGAACTAAGGACCTGTGGGCCCCTCCCCCATATGTTGCTGAATTGCTACTCCCAACATGATTACGTGGCTGGGATGGCTTTCAGATGTTATTCAGCATCATCCAAAGGCCCACAAATTCTTCATTCCTGCCATGTATGGAATTTGGTCTTACAGAAAAGAGGACTGGCACTAGTCTACACTATGCTTCTTGCCTTTCTTAAAAGAAGCTACGCGGGGCCATTTTCATTCCAAATAAAATCTGGACTGTAAAAAATCCAGAAGACCCCCTAAGCAAAGAGATTCTC